GGCAAGAAGGGAGGAGGAAAGAGAATCCATGAGAAGTGGGTTTACAGCATCAGACCAGCGGTAAATTTCAGCAGTCGCCTGAGAAACAGGCACGCTTTCAGAAAGAAAGGTGGCTGCATTGAAATTTGAAATCCCATTGGAACTACCTTCTTCCCCCGAATACAACGTACGGTCATTATATAGCTGTATTTGAGGCATCTTTCAGTCCAGATACAGCTATAATGACCGTACGTTGTATTCGGGCGAAAAAGGTAGGTGGCCCATTGGACTTCTGATCTGATTTTGTCAGTTTGTTCAGGACTCTGCAGAGCCTCTGTTGTGTTCTGTTTTTTTTTTTTTTTTTTCATCGTTTCTCACTCCTGTTCACTTTTTCGCTTTCCATGAAGTGATGATGCTTCCCTTTCTATTTTATTTTTAAAAAGGGGAAAAAAAATGATGCTTGGCTGGTTACTTTGAAGTTTGAAGCTCTGTTTGTTGTTCCCCCGTGAGTTTTGACTCTTGAGCTTACTCTGCTGAAGTTTCTCCCTCTTTTCGAACCTGCTCACTCTTTCTCGCTCTTCTCAGCCCACCACCTGCTCAGTTTTTCCAATTTCATATTTTGGAATGAGATGATGCTCCTGACTCATATCACCTTCCCTGGCAGCTTGGGTCCGGGGGGGTTTAAAAAAAAAAAAAAAAAAAAAAAAAAAAAAAAAAAAAAAAAAAAAAAAAAAAATGCTCCGGTGAGAGAGGGTTGCATTCACTTTGTCCTCCCACATCTTTCCATCTTTTGTTCCCTTTCCTTCATGTCCTGCCTCCTCTACCAGCCGTTCCCTCCTCCCCCCCCCCTCTGCCTCTGCCTCCTCTCTTCCTTTGTGCAGTCGCTCGCTCACTCACAGGCACTGTCGATCACTTGTCATGTACGAGTAATTTGTGCATGTGGGACATGTTGTGGGACATGTTGTGCATGTGGGACTTGTTGTGGGACATGTTGTGGGACATGTTGTGGGACATGTTGTGCATGTCGCTCGCTCACTCACGACAAGCTGCACCGACGAATGTATGGGACATGTTGTGCGTGTGTGCGTATGCTGCAGGATGGCTGTGCCATATAGATGACAAACAATCAATCGCCACCGACATTCACTTGTCACGTACTCCCGAAGGTGTAGCACCTGCTGCTGACCCTAAGCCTTCTCTACAGGGGGTCCTGATGCCGAAGCGAAGTGGCCTCGCTCTCCCCGAAGTCATTGTATACATACATGTATTATGTATGCTTTACTAGTCAACAGAGCTGCCCGGTATATGAGGAGATATATATGAGGAGTAGGGAGGGACTTAATTAAGGTTTAATTGGCCGCGGGCCCACTGGTGAGGGGCCATTTCCATCTGCTCTTGCCTGCTGGACGCGCAGGTCGGAACAGTGTCAGGGGTTCCAGGTGTCATCAATGGAGAAATGTGATGACAACCGTGGGGTTGTTGTGGAATCTGAGATTCTGAATCCATTGCATGGAGGAGGAGAGTGGGGAACCGCATGTGTTAGCAATGGCAGCAATGCGCGATGCGAGATTCCTTCTGTTGCAGGGGGAAATGCCCCCTTAAACCACCAGTACACGCCTCACATCGGCCGCGGGGTCGTGTCAGAGAGGCCGAAACGCGACGCCGGCCGCCGATTTCTTTTATCGACGGGGCGCCATGCCGACTTTTCCGGACAGATAGGCGACGACGAGTTCCTTTTCAGCAAGGCTGGGGCCGTGTACTGGCGGCGGTTTAAAGTAGGCGTACACTGTACAGATAGAAGGGGAAGTGCACAGAGTTTTGTCAGGTAGTGGTGTTCCAGATGGAGGACACAGAGATGTGCTAGCGCTTCTCTTATTACAGTAGACCGTAGTTCTTTTCAAAAATTATGAAAAACAAGAGGACAAAACACAAGGGTGCAAGATCCATCAGTTTTGCTCTCTCTCTCTCTCTCTCTCTCTCTCTCTCTCTCTCTCTCTCTCTCTCTCTCTCTCTCTCTCTCTCTCTCTCTCTCTCTCTC